GCGAGAAAACAGTTAAACAGAGCATCTGCAGCATGAGGATAATGAACAAGCCTCCACCAATCGGCCTTTACTTTCACTTTCTCTTTCTGTCTTTCGTGGATAAGAAAATATTTTCATTCAAGCAGAAATAAAGTCATATTAGTTCAATAACTTAATACTAAAACTCCTTAAAGCAAAAAGATGCAATCTGTAATTATATTTTTTATATCATGCCAAAATTTAGAAATCACAACAAACATTAAAATAATTTTCTTAAACAAGATTAAAATGAACCCTATGAAATGTTTTTTCTTTTTTTTTTCAACAATTTAAAGACTTACACTGTCATAACATCTAATAATGAAAAGTGTGATTAAAACTGTTCTGTAACAAACAGATATTAAAATATACATTCTGTTACAGCCATTCTATTGAAACTCAGTTTGCGTTAAAGTGCAATTTTACCTCTGTTTTTATATCTTACTCAATGAGGGTGTGATTTAAATTGTGTAAAAACAAGCAAAAAATAATCACTTACTCTGAAGTTGCTTATCATTGAACAAATTTTTTTTCTTTTAATTTAGAGTGAGCAACTTACATTTGATTGATATTTAGTCCTCAAAGTTGAATGGACTACATGAATATCAATAAGTTTGAGCATGGTAGAGCAAAATTACAAAAACACTTAGGAGTTTGTTTCTAACTCCATGAACTTTTGCAGAGCTTTAACAGCAATTTTCATGATCACTTTTTTAGAGGATTTTAGATGTATATTTGACCCAGGGATAAGTGATATTCAGGACATAAAAATCCCTATTAGCAGAGCAAAAGCATTTGACACATTCCTCAAGTACAACCGACCTTTTCCTCTAACACCACAGCCACATACATTATTTCCTTTGGCAGAAGATTTTGTGTTCTCCTCTAATGGTTAAACATTTATTCCTTTCACTGCCTCCACCATCAGTTGTTTAACAGAGAAAAATCAAGTATGAATTGGAAAAATGACCAAATTTACAAAGCATGTCAGTTAAAAATGAATCAGTTTTAAACAAAGGTGTGCCCACATCCAAATACATGTACAGTGTGTGTACCATAAATAGCTCAATATTAATAGTAACTCTCTTTTAAAGTGACTTGCTTAAGCCTTTAAATTTCACTGTAAGCTGAATAGTTGGAAAATACCATGCATCTGGAAAATATTCATAACAATTTTTCCACATTTTTTATGATACAGCCTTATTCCAAAATACAGTATATTAAATGTATTTATTTTTAAGTCAACACACAATACCCCATAATGACAATGTAAAAAAAAAAAAAAAAAGATTTTTTGAAATTGTTGAAAAAAAAAAAACCTGCAAAATCACATGAACATGAATTTTCATAGCCTTTGCTCAATACTAGTCAGGATAGAGGGAAAGATGAATACAGCAATTTACAGAGGCATTCTGAATGAAAACCTGCTTTAGAGTGCTCTTGACCTCAGACTGGGGCAACGGTTCATCTTCTAGTAGGATAATGACCCAAAGCACACCATAAAAATATCAATGGAGTGGCTTCACAACAACTTGGTAAATGTCCTTAAGTGGCCCAGCCAAAGCCCAGACCTAAAACCTATTGAACATATCTGGAGAGATCTGAAAATGGCTGTAAACAGTCTCTTCCCATCCAACCTGATAGAGCTTGAGAAGTACTGCAAAGAAGAATGAGCAAAAAAACCCAAAGACAGGTGTGCCAAGCTATCATATTCAAAAAGACTTGAGGCTGTAATTGCTGCCAAAGGTGCATCAACATTGAGCAAAGGCTGTGAATACTTATGTACATGTGACTTTTATTTTTATGAAATTTGCCACAATTAAAAAAAAAACTTTTCACATTGTCATTATGGGGCATTGTGTGCAGAATTAAGGAAATAAATTAATTTAATCCATTTTGGAATAAGGCTGGAACATAAAAAAAAATGAATACTGTCCGGATGCTTTGTATTTAGTAAAGTATGTACAGTGGGGGGAAAGAGAGAGAAAAAAAACATGATTAAGAGAAATAAAATAAATACATTTACTAAAGATGAAAAAACTTAAAATTCACATTGTATGTCTGGTTGCAGTATCATTTGTATTTACAAATATATTATATTAGCGGACATGTCACCGCATTTCAAAGAAACCATTGAGAGCCATATAAAAAAAGATGGCGATGCAATAGATATTTTAATAATGCAGATGGCACGGTCAAAAAAATAAAAACAAGTTATAAAACTAAGGTCCACACATATGAATATTTTAATTATATTTTATTAACATCAGAAAGCAAACATGGGACAGATGAACCAGAAAACAAGAATCTATGAATTCACTTGTTGCAACAGCCTGAACAACTTCTGGGATCGTTTTGAGCAGGTTGAGGAGCATTTGCAGACTGATAATCCACCTGTAGTGGAATTGCAAGTTCAGGTTGAACCGACTGAAACAGACTCATGGCTTGAAACTACCAGACCACTCGATGCTTGGGAACTTTTAGACTGATTACTTGATGGCACAAGCACTGAAGACGTCTAAAGTCCAGGCTGTAAGACGGTCTCATAATTTAATAGTACCAGAGGCTGGTAGCTGGACTGCACTGGCATGCCTAAGGAAGAGGAGCTGGACTGAATAAAAGACTGACTACTGGGCAGCATTTGAGGCTGGGCAACAAAATTCCCTGGAACAGGAGATATCTGGTATTTAGCTAGGGAGCTGGTCTCTTAATATAATAATATCAGCAGACAGGGATGGGTAGTATTTATAATACAAGTGTTTCAAATATGTATTTTAAATACAAAATAGTATTTTGTAGTTTGTATTTAATAGGGTTTATATAATACTGTAAAATGCCTTGTAAGAAGTCTACATGAAAACCAAAAAATGCGGCCTCAGATTGAAGCTTTTTGTTATTTGCCCAGGCTTGAGATCAGAACAGAAAATTGATTATGAAAATGGGTGACGCTTGGAGTATGGATGGAAGTTGTGCAGACATAAAGAAAATAACTGACAAATGCCATGGTAAATTTAAGAGCAAGTCAACAACTATTAAAAATACTGCACAATGCTTAGACCAGTTATACAGCATGTGATGTCAATATAGTGTACAATTCTGAATCAACATCTTTGCTTAAGAAATTAGATGGAAAAAAATTTCAGTCCTTAAGAACAGGATGAAGAGCCTTTAGTACATAATTATTTTCAGTCTCTTACAACTTTAGAATAATAAAACACCTAAAGATGGTGTACTGGTGTTCACTATGGGGGTAAACCGAGACTCGCCCAATTGAATTGAATTGAATTTTGTTTGACATATTTTAGACAATCTGTACAAAAATACAAGTACATTGCGGTCCTCGCTGTTAAATAAAACAAAGTATGGTTTCAAAATACAGATGATGCATAAAACAAACAGTACCTCCACATTTAAATAATAATAATAATAAAACATACTCTTTTACTAACAGTTAGCATGCCTAATTCATTAATAAAAAACTCTTTGTGCAAATGTGCTCTAGAGTAAATTTTTAAAACTAGTTGTAATAATTTATTTTGTGCCTTTTGCAATTCAAAGCAGACATGTCATTGCATGGAAACGATCAAAGCAACTATCGGGAGCACTTTGAAAATGAAGTATGACAAGGTAGAAGGTAATCTTGTAAAATTAATATTAGCAGATGCAATGGACAATAAAAATGAAAGTTATAAATCGAAGGTCCAAACATACAGATATTTAAATCATATTTTATTGACATAAGACATAACCAGAAAACAAGCATCTAGGACTTCACTTGTTGCAACAGCCTGAACAACTTCTGGGATGGATGCAAATTGTTTTGAGTAGGTCCAGGAGCATTTTGACCTGTGACAGACAGATAATCCACCTGTAGTGGAATTGCAAGTTCAGATTGAAAGCGCAAACTAGTTTACTGATATTATTTTTCTGATTAACTGCATGTCTGGTAGACCAATTAATTCAAATGTATTGTGAGGAAATATCTTGCAGAACCATCCCTGTGGTGAGAGTTGTATTTAGCCGTGTCAGAACAATTTAAACAGATGCGTTAGAAAACTGGCACTACGGTACATCATTAGTAGCAGCAATCAAAACACACATTTTAGTTTTAGAAGTTTATTTTAGACAGATTTTTTATTTGGTTATTTTAGCATATTCACCATAAAGCAGATACATTTCACGCATTATTTCAAACTTAAAAAGATCATGAACTTAAAAGATAACATATACAGACTTGACTTAAGACCATATTATCCTTGTTTTTGAAGATTGCATGCAATAAATTAATTTTTGTGGGGAAAGTGTGATCAGTAAAATATTGTTCAGAGTCCACAACAAATACATTTTATTGGGCTTATAAACTGGAAGGTAGTTATAATTTTAAAAATAGACAAAGTTGTGTACCAGTCCTTATGGCAATGTTTACATACACACACACACACACACACACACAGTAAATTCAGATTAAATTCAAACTTTCAAGTGGACTTCGTCCACTTCGTGGACTAACGTCTTTCTAGAGAAGAAAAAAAAAAAAAAAAAAAAAAAAAAAAAAAAAAAAAAACTTACCAACCCAAACTATGTTTTAATACGCCTAATGACACTTTAAAATCAGAAAAAAAACAAAATGACATTAATTATTAAATACATTTTTTACATTAAAATAATTAAACCTGTGGATAATTTAAACATTGCAAACATTCCCATTGTAAAAAAAAAAATTTAAAAAATTCAATTGCAAAAACTTCATTTTAGATCATTTTTTATTTGAAGTACACGTTACATGTCTGGTTGCAGTGTCAATTGTATTTTGCAAATAAAACCTTATATCAGCAGACATTGTCACTGCATGAAACCTATCAAAGAAACTATTGGGAGCAATTTAAAAATGAAGTTGACGGCAACGTAGATCAACTTTTGTATTTTGATTTTGCAGATGCAAATGACAATAAAAAAGGTAAGTTATAAAACAGATCCACAAAGATATTTAAATAATGTTTTATTGACATCAGACAGCAAACATGACTCTGGAACCAGAACACAAGTATCTAGGACTTCACTTGTTGCAACAGCCTGAACAACTGGGATGGATGCCTAATGTTTTGAGCAGTTCCAGGAGCATTTTGGCCTGTGACAGACTGATAATCCACCTGTAGCGGAACTGCAAGTTCAGGTTGAACCGACTGAAACACAGACTCATGGCTTGAAACTACCGGACCGCTCAATGCTTTGGAACTTGTAGATTGGTAACTTGATGGCACAAGCACTGAGGAGGTCTGAAATCCAGGCTGTAAGACGGTCTCATAACTTGATGATACCAGAGGCTGGTAGCTGGACTGCACTGGCATGCCTGAGGAAGAAGAGCTTGACTGAGTGAGAGACTGACTACTAGGAAGCATTTGAGGCTGGGAAACAAACTGCCCTGGAACAGGAGATATCTGGTATTCACCGAGAGAGATGGTCTCTGAATTTGATTGTGCCAGAGGCTGGTACATGGGTTCCACTAGCAAAGCTTGGGGAGTGTAGCTGGGCCGAGAAAGAAACTGCTGGCTAGATAACACTTGAGCTGGTGTTAAAATGGATTGTAGAGTAGATGCGAGTGGTCTAGGATGGTTAGGCTTGGCAGATGCCTGGTCGCTGGACTGTGCAACAGGCTTGGAGTGCCGAGTTAGGGCTGAAAGACTTGTTCTAGGTGGAGACGGAAATCTCCTCTGGTAACCATGCTGAGGCAACTCTTGGCATGAATAAACCTTGGAGCCAATCTGATGAACTCCATGGGCATGCACTGGCTTGAGAAGGGGATGCCCACTCTGCTCGACAACATACTCATAGGTAGATTGTCCTGCTTGCTGGTTGATCGGTTGAACTACAGAAAGGCTAACATGTGCTGGCTGTTGGACAATGGGCTCGGCCACAAACTGGTAGCTGATAGGTCCTGGCTGGGCCTCTGATTGGGAGCCAGCCTGTACAAGTTTTGCTCCATTGGAAAGAGACACAGATTCATAGCTGGCTTGTTGAACAATCGGTTGGGCTACAGACTGGTAGCTGATGTGGGCTGGTTGGACAACAATTTGGGGCACAGACAGGTAACTGGTTTGTCCTGGCTTTTGAGAAGCAGACTGGGCCTCTGATTGGTAGCTGGCTTGCACTGGTAGTTGTAGAGTAGGTTTGGGCACGGACTGGTAGATGGTTTGTACTGGCATTTGGCTAGTTGACTGCACTACAAAACCAGAACTCGGTGTATGGAGAATACTTGTACTGGATGGAAGTTTGGACCCAAACTGATGTTTACCTTTATGGTGCTTGAGGGGAGTCGGACCACTGGGCTGAGCCGTAAAGACAGAACTACCATGAACTGGTTGCTGGTCATTTGACTGGGAAATAGATTGGCTTGTTAGAATTAGCTGCTGGCTACTGGGCTGGACCACAGAGATGTCAACAACATCTATTGGCTGCACACCGTTTGGATGATTTGCAGTCTGGCCACTGGACTGGCTGACAAGTTCATAGCTGGCCACTGCTAAGCTACTTGGCACACTGCCATACTCTAATATTGGTTTAAGAGGCTTCAAAGTGTTGAATATCGGATTTTGAAATGGCCTGGAACCTAAAACAATATTGGAACCAGATTGGTGGCGTTTACCACTTAGAGGCTTATGGGGTCTTCTACCAGCATGCACTGCAGACTGGGAACTAGTCAGCAGCACTGGATTAGGAACAGAATAACTGCTTTGCTGAAATGGCATCAAGACAGACGAACTAATGACTTCAGATTGTTGAACATTAGTTGATGGACTTGCATCATTCCCAGACATGCCAACATTCACTGCATTACCCACAGTACCATAAACAAGACTACCACTTCCCGTTGAATAAACACCAGATCCCTGAAGTTGGCTTCTAGTGGAAGAATCAGAGCCAGTTTTATCTACCGCCATGAGAATGCCTGAAGAGCCAGCCTGGGAACTGTAGCTTTCGGTGTCATAACCCCCTTTAACTGCAGCACTGTAAATTGTACTCTTGCTGGGATTGTTAGGTCCAGGAAGTCCACCATTGCTACCAGGGCTATATGCAAAAACTACATAAACCATTAGCATTAGATCAATTATGTAATGCTGGACATAATAATAATAATACTTACTAGTTGCAACATCACATGCACCAAGGGCTAAAAGTACTGCTAAATAGTAACTGCAAAAAGAACATCAGCCATATAGTAAACGTTAAACTGCAAAAAAATAAATAAATAAACAAATCCTAAAACAACATACCTTAAAATCCACATTGTTGTTGCACCCATAGTAAGCCAGGTCAGGTCAAACCAACCATGCACTGTTCACAACAAAATAAAAAGAAAAGCTTTCAACACACCATGTGGTGATGCTTCTGATCTGGCCTTTCTATAGTGTGTGTAACTAGCAATTGCTAATCAGTTGTCTCAGAAGTCACTAATGGCTCATAATTAGTTTCAGTTGTCTATTGTCAGGTGTTACACATTATGTTCCCGGTATGTCAGGTGATAAAAAAAAAAAAATATATATATATATATATATATATATATATATATATATATATATATATATATATATATATTATTAAATCAGACAGATAGAAATTGAACAAATGAGAGCTGTAAACAATCTAAGCTATGCAGAGGCAGTGAAGAAGGTCTAAGAACAGTGCAAGTACACAAAAAACAAGAAATAGTGAGAAAAGAGAATGACCAAGTACAAGAAGATAAAACACTGACACTTGATAAGCTGATTTTGTTCATTGCCTATGTAATTAACTGTACTGACCAGGTCAAACACAAAACCAAGAAAATGAAAATAATTGTGAAAGGAGCTGAAAAGTTTTTTTGGAATAAACAATATATCATGGGAGGTAATCAATAAAAGGCTAGAAGCAGAGGGTAGAACAGGAGGAGCTGGAAATAAACCAAACTGAAAATGGAATGCAAGAAGACTATTAGCTAACGGACAAGAATTTAAAGGTTTTATACAAGGAATTAGGGATAAACCAGACATAATAAGCGTTCAAGAAACCTGGCTTAAACCTGTATTGGACTTATTACAGGTTAATATTAAAGGGTATGAGAATGTACGTAGAGATAGAGAGGAAGAGATTGGGGGAGGATGTATAATATTTGTTAAACAAGGTATACAAGTTTTAGAGAAAGGGAAAAATTTAGAAGTCATAGTAATAGAAGTATTTATAAATAAAGAGACTATAAAAATTATAAATTTTTATAACCCATGTAAAAGATTATCACTTGAAGTTTTAGATGAATTGATGGTACATTTAGAAGGGAAAATTATATATTGTGGAGATTTTAATGCTCATAGCACGATATGGGGCAATGAGAATGATGGGAATGGATTAGTTATCGAGAAATTATTGGAGATCAAAGAAATGGTATGTTTAAATGACGGAAGAGGTACAAAATTAATGTAAGATCAGGAAAAGAAACTGCCATTGACCTAAAGCTTGTTTCAAATTCCTTAGCAGGACAATGCTTAAGGGATATGTTTAGGGAAACAACATTAGGAAGTGACCATTAACCAATAGTAGTTGAAATAAGGAATGTCTAAAAGAATGTCATTTAAGAGAAACAGAAAGGTGGTGTTTTAAAAAAGCTGACTGGAATTTTGACATTCAGAGATATAAGTGAGCAAAAAATGATAAATATTAAAGTTGATGAAGATGTTGACAATGTGAATAATGATATTTGTAATGCTATTTTGTATACAGCAAATCAGGCTATTCCGAAGAAGGGGCATAAGAAAAAAAAGAAGATTGTACCATGGTGGACAAATAAATGTTAAAGCACATTAATTGTAAAAATAAAGCTTTTGAAAAAAATTGAAAAAAAAAACAGTTTTCAGAATTTTAAAGAGAAAGCAAATGTAAAGAAGAGTTATAAAAATAGTAAAAAGGAATATTGGAGGAAATTCTGTAATACAGTAGGATGGGAAACAGAAATTAGTCAAGTATGGGGAATGATAAAAAGAATGGAATGGAGTGGAATAAAGAGATAATTTAATTATTTAGTATTGAGACATGAAGAGAAAACTGCTGTGAGAAATGAGGAGAAAGCGAAAATGCTGGCAAAATTTTTTGTCAAAATTCATAAATATGACAATATTTGTGAAGAGGGAAAAAGAGGAAGGTTAAGAACATTAGAACAGTAAGGAACTAACACAATTTGAGGAAGGCCACAGTGAACAATTAAACATGACATTTATAAAGAGTTAAATCGTGTACTGAGGAAAATGAAGAAATCAGCTCCAGGCAAAGATCAAATATGATACGTAATGAAAAGTTATCTTAATGAATTACCCAAAGAAGTTTTTTAAGAATGTACAATAAAATTTGGGAGAAAGAAATAAATACCTAAAAAAATGGAAAGAAGCATTGATAATACGTAAACCAGGAAAAGATTGGACAAATGCAGGAAATTACAGACCAATTGCTTTAACATCTAATATTGGGAAAATGGTGGAGAAAATGGTTAATGAAAGATTAATGTATTATGTAGGAAATAATAAATGTATTTCTAAATACCTAAGTGGGTTTAGGAGGGGGAGAAATACAATGGATCCAGTTGTGTGCCTTGAACATGAAATTAGAAAAGCACAAATAAATAGGGAGAGTGTAGTGGCTGTTTTTTTTTTTTTTTTTTTTTTTTTTGATATAGAAAAAGCTTACGACATGATGTGGAGAGAAGGGTTATTAATTAAACTATGGTAGTTAGGTTTTAAAGGACAAATGCATAAATGGATTAAGGATTTTTTTTTAAATTGAACAATAACAGTGAGGATAGGAAATATTTATTCAGGAAAATTCACAGTTGTAAATGGAACTCCTTAGGGAAGTATAATAAGCCCAATATTATTTTCAATAATGATAAATGACGTGTTTGGAGAGATAGAGAAGTAGATTGTGGGTGTGTACAGGTACAATTAAAACTACACATTGCAGCACTACAAGTTGAAATGGGGGAAATGTCTTTGGAAATGAGAAAAGTTCAATAGTCAGTAAGTTACTGGGTAAATTTGATTAGGCAAAGTCAAGAACATCCAACAATAGAAACATTAAAACCATGTTGGGAAAAAGAGAGGAGGGTAAGTAAAAGTTTTGGGTGGATAGTGTTAAAAAAAGAAGTAAAAGTAAGTCAATTAAACATTAATCCTACTGTACCTTTACCAGTAGTTAAACCATGGTTACTACCAGCCACAACAGTAGTTTTTACACTGTTAGAAAAGAGAAAAAAGTATGAGGAATGTTACATTTGTTTATATCAAAAATATATTAATGCATTTTACAGTTATGTTAAAATATATACAGATGCCTCTAAGAGTTTAATTAGAGTAGGTGTGGCCTTTAGAGTTCCTGAATTTCAAATATCGGTCGGGAAAGGGATTAGAGATGAAGTCTCGGTATATACAGGAGAAATGATTGCTCTTTTATTAGCAATACAATGGGTAGAGGAAATAAGACAACAATAAGACATCTGTTCAGACTCAAGTTTTTCATTGGCAAGTTTACGATATAGCAATTCAGAAAGTAAACCAGACATTTTATTAGAAATAATGCAAACATAGTATAGAATTCAAATTATGGGTATAACAGTAATATTTTTATGGGATTTTGCAAAATCTTTGTTAAACAGAAATTGGAGAAAATATATATAGTGGGCAAATAATTCAGGAGGGCTAATATTTCTGATTTCAGCTGTAAGTAAGGTACATTTTTCTAGCACATTTATTGTATGTTGTCATAACCCTAAAGAGTTTTAAAATTTCATGAGTGGGTCTCTCTACCACCAGTGTGCTGACCACACACCAGCTGAAGGTGGAGAGCAGATTGATTTTCCTAAAATATCAAAATCAGCTAGGCAGTTTATCTTTCTCATGTCTGAGAAACCCGCCCGGTGACCTACTTGGACCTGCACCTTCTCCAAGATGGACGCCTATTATTCTCAAGCCTCTAAATGTCCAGACTGCAGCTCTGCCACAGATGTTTGGCCAGAGGAGAATTGGGGTCCGTTCTTCGTACGTGGATTACTCAGTTAGCTGGATTTGGTTATTGACGATTTAAGATGATCCAGGATAGTTTTGTTCTTCAAAGCTCATCTTGGAGTTGTTGTCATAGCAACAGTTCTAGCAGCTCAAACCTGCTCAGGAGCAGGTTTATTTCATGTAAATAGGATTAAATTGAGTCGTTTCAAGCAAAGGTAATACTGAAAGTATGTACAGAGTTCTGATATTTTCTGACAGTAGTATAGATTAGATACACTTGGGGGGAAAAGTAAAATAGTTTTAAAAAGTTTATATATCACATTTATAATTTATAATAATTTATAATATTTCATATAATAAAGAATTCATAATATTTGTGTTTATATAGCTATAAGGTAAAAAATATATATGAATAAAACTTAGTAGATAAAAGTACAAAAACAAGGTGGCTCTCCCCAAGGGGATCAAAAAGAACATCTATTAATATGGATTTTTTTAGATACAATTTAACGCGTGCTATTTAAAGTTACAGATCTAGCTTTAGAAAAGTTTCTGTAAGATAATAGACATGCACAAATTGAATATTTGTTTTTTATAACAAATAATAATTTATGCAGTCATGCACATGTTTTGACAGCTAACATGATGGTGAATTGATGCTTTGCAAAAGTTGCAGAAGTCTTTACCAACATCAAAATGATTTTTAATGCAAAATTAATTTTAATTCCTTAAGCCAATAAAGAAATTAAAATAGGCCTGGGCTACTATAGTAAAGAAAATCTGATCTAAAGTGTAAAACTAAATAAACTGCTAAATACTCTCGACACGTGAAACTGTAAAGCCTGCAGCTCACAACAAGCATGAAAAGTAATTGCGTGTCATATTTAACAAACTGTTCACCACAAATTTTTTGTAATTTTGCTCACATGGATAATTGAATATTAATTAGATGATGCCATTACACTGCTGTGCGGTCAGCCAATCAATGCATTGTTGATCATTATTTCGAAGACCGCTAGATCTATTCTTCACAACACACGCAGCGATCTCAGATCAGTTCATCCTGCATTTTAATATAATTCACGAACTTGTTTGAAGAACCAAATAAGCCAGAGATCAGTTATCAAGATGAAATGATTCAGGATCTGTCAAATCATCTTAGATCGTTTAAGCAAGGTACAAAGAATGAACCCCTGGTTGCCACCAGATGAGCCTGCATGGTTTCAATGCTAAAGTTTCAACCTGACTGTTGATGCAATGTTAATTCAAATTCAAATGTCTGCTATCAAAAATTCATAAGCTTTTATACAAAATTCTATTGCTTTACCGTAATATTTGTCAACACACCAAAATAAATAAATAAATAAATGACACATGCAACACACATATATGAAGAAAAAATATATGAATATAAAATAATAACAAATGAGAACAAACTCCATATAATCACATTAAACTTCTGTAGAGTCAAAAAAAAGTATTCTCCAT